GTGTGTTTGTGTGTGTGTGTGTGTGTGTGTGTGTGTGTGTGTGTGTGTGTGTGTGTGTGTGTGTTTGGGGGGATCGGGGTGAAATACGACCTGGAAATGTTCTTGACCGGTTTCATGAGATTCACCCAAACATGTCATGGGCTCAGGATGTAAGAGCATGTGTATGGATGTGCATTTGTGTGTAATACAATTGCATTGTAAAGAATAAAAGAAGAGCAACAGCATACAGATTCAACTCTTACAACACATTAAGACTTCAGCGAGACTCCCATGAAAACCTATTTTTTAGCTGTCCTATATTAAAACTCGCGTCTTAAAATGTAACAAACTCCTTCCCATTAATTCCAGCTGCAGAAGCACAACTCAGAGAAGGTTAAGGGTGGATGGAACAGCCAAGAAGAAAATAACACTATAGAACAGCAAAAAAACATTTTTCAATAAACAGATTTCGCATCAGAGGGTCAGAGCTCTCGAACAAGACAGCAATCTGACCCACATGGGGTTAAACACAGCACGCTAAACACAAAGCTAAACGGCAAAGGATAAAAAAAACTCTTTCCTCTACTGTATGTAAACATATTCATATACTTGTGCCATCTGTAATATTACCTTCCTGTTCAATGCTGAATGGCAAGTGTACAAAATGCATCTCTGGTCTGCATGCATCACGTACTATATGACATTTACACATGCCACATGAAGATGTTTCATATCAGTCCATTTGGGCACCTCATTTCCTCTCTTAATCTACAGAAATAAAGCTTTGTGACAGCATAGGTCAATTCAAAGTGCACATGAGAAAAAGAAAATCACATAAAGGAAAAAAGCAGAAAGGTGGAGCACTTGTGCTTCTTGCAAAAAAAAGTAAAAACTGAATGCTTGGCTGCATAAAATAAATAGTTTTTTTTATTATTATTATTATTTACTGTCGGCCCTGTTCAGAGCAACTCAACTAGAGTTAAGCTAATGATTTAAGCAAAACCTAAAGCAAAGCAAAGTACCTATTTTATGCAACCAGGTACCCAAGTAATCTGACGGAGGTCTAGATGCATGTCATAAAGGTCAGGTTAGACTGTGAGGGAAATGAAGCTGTTATATCTCTGAATGTTCCTCTTGAGAATCTCAGAGCAGGGCCCGAGGACGCGCTCGAAACGTGGCCGGTCCAGCTTCACGCACTTCAGCGGGCCTCTGGCCACGACTGTGGCTGCACGGGGTCTGTTCAATAGCAGCGCTATCTCACCTGAATAAATAAATAAAACACACACAGATTAGCTTAATGACCTGATTCAAAGGGTACATAATATAGAAATCAATTTGGATTTTTTCACTTTTTTCCCTTTGACATAAAATCGATTTTACATACTCTAACATTCAAAACTCAAAATATCCTAGTGCATCCAGACCATTAATTACTACTAGGTTGACAAAATAATTCATAAATGCGTTATGGCATCAGGTCTGGTGTTCCTCAGGGCTCTGTTTTGGTACTGCTTAAACTTACATAATCAACAACAATCGGGCTTTCCCGATTGAATAAATGTGTGAACTATGCCGCTACACTGATGTCAGCTGATCGTAGCAAAGGTTTATTTACATATAGAAAGAAGTCTTAAAGGTACAGTAGAAAAACAGTCAGTTTAATTCAGACAGAGGGGAAAACAGATATGTTTTTGCACTGTTTTTGCAAGAACATTGAGTGGATATAATGACACAAATATGTAGATTATGCCCCTTTTCAAAGTCTAGTTTAAAACCTAAAAATTGTTATACAATAATATGTTATTTTACTAAATGTTAAGGATAAGGATAAATAAAAGGAGGGAGGCTGACAGGTCAGGGCTTCCCTATATCATAGTCATTTTACAGAAGTTGCAAAGACCAACAGTAGATAATCAGCACAAAATAAAGCATGTTAAAATTTAAAAAATGTAAGTAAAACAATAATTATAATAAAGGATGTAAATGTTACATTTAAAAAAAAATCTAAAACAGGGCAAAAATCATAATTAAGACAAAACATTTTCAAAATAATTACATATTATAATATTTAGTAGTAATTAGTTTAATAATAATAATAATCATTATTATAAATAATATATTAATGTAAAAAATATATAAATAAATTACACATATTATTTTATTATTATGACTGTTTTTGCTCTGTTTGTGTAAGACAGACACTGTTTTTGCTCTGTTTGTGTTTATTAACTTTATAAGTTGATATAATGAAACAAATGTGTACATTATGACCCTTTAAAGAAAAAAAGTTGACAACAACAAAGTATTTAAAGACATTTAAACAGACATTTAAAGGTACTTTTAAATGTAATTTTTTCTATGCAACGACTAATAAATTAAGCCATTTGAGCAGCCAAACACTGCAACATTGACTCAACCCAATAGTATGAGTTTGAGGAGGGACTATCTCTTTGGCCAACCAATGGCAGATGGGGGAGTGTTTAGAAAACCTCTTTAAAACAATCACTATTTTTACCATTCTGTTTGGTGACACTTGTGGTGCAGAAATGTCTCACTTCATCTTAAAGAGGTCATCTGTTAAAATTCACTGGCTTTGCTGTATGCTGATAACATAAACACACCGCTTTGAAAATATTCACTTTGTCGTGTGATAAGCTAAAGATCAGTGTGCCTGTGGTGCAGAATTGTAAACCGCACTGACTGTAAACAAGCACACAGATCTACATTCTGCAAGCCCTGCACATGACGAACTGCCACCTGTTAGGAAAGCTACTCTTCCTGTCTGGCTCAGGCACTTCTGTTCTCTTATTTACAAGACTCTGGCACAACGCTGCAGGCTCTGCGATCCTCACAACACTTACCGAAGTAGTCAGACGGACCCAGGCGGCCCACTTCAACATATTCCTCATTATCAGACCTGCGCTGCAGAACAGACGCTATACCCTGGGAGGAGAAAGAGAAAGTGAGATGCAGGTTTAATGAGGAGGAAAACTACAAAAAGAGGAGAAAAAGGAGACAGAAAAGCCTAGCTCATGGTGTCGAGTTTGAGACACGTCAGAAGGATTAGTGAAAGAGAGATTCTTTGCTTTATATGCCTGCAGGTGTACAGGATTTAGACAACTCTACATACTGCTTCAGGGACTCGCAAGACACACACACAAACACATGTCATAGACTGACACACACACATACATACACACACACCTGGGCCTGTCAGTGTTGAGATTTTTCAACAATTATAGAGTTCCACTGCATGCAGCGCCCCACACTGCAATGCAAAAACTCATTTAGAAAGATAAACAAGGAAACACACACACATGTTCTATCAAATTTGTCACATCAAGGACAAATGCATTACCCACAATACAACAGTAAAAGGAGGGAGGGCTCACAGGCCAAGGCTTTTCTATTCACAAAAGCAGTTAATCAATACAAAAAGAGTAAAACAATAATAAGAATAATGTACGTGGTGTAAATGTTAAAAAATAAAAGTAAAACAGGCAAAAATCAGTAATTTAAGAGAAATTAAACAAATGTGCTTAATTAAAAAATATAATTAAATATAATAGTATTTAATAATAATAATTATTATTATTAGTAGTAGTATTAATATATAAAAAATATAAATACAATAAATAAACGTAAAACAGAAAAATCAGTAATATAGGAGAAATTAAATGTGCTTCAATAAAATAAATAATTAAAAACAATAGTATCTGGTAATACAGAATAACTATTACATTCATTATTACTATTAAATAATTTACTTAATAATATTTGTTATTATTATAAATATATTGAAAATGTAAAATAAAAAATAAAGACAAAACAAAAATCAATAAAACGAAAATAAAGAAAAATCAGTAATATGGGAGAAATTTAACAAACGTGCTTAAAGAAATTAAAAATAATAACTAAATATAATAGTACTTAGCAATAATAATAATACGAATTAGTGTAGTTAATCGCAATTAATCGCATCCAAAATAAAAGATTGTTTACATAATATATGTGTGTGTACTGTGTGTATTTATTATGTATATATAAATACACACGCATA